GCAGCTGTAAAAGGTCACACCGTAAACACCAGTGCTACTGCTCATCTGTTGTCCCAACTGATCCAAGGAGTTTGGATGTGTGTGTGCTCTGCATGTAAGCAAGCGGTTTACTGTCTCTTCAGGATTCAGCTCACAAACTAGAGAATTAGCAAAACTTGGTTGGTAAATTTGGGGTTGTTCTATCTGGTTTGAGACTGCTCGTTCAAATGAGACCGGTCCCAAGACCTATAGCACTTGATAACCTTTGTCTTAAAACACACCTTCTGCCCTTCCTGCGTAAATCTGTACAAAGTCCAGGGCTTTTTGGCTTTGTTTGTTTGTTTATAAGCATGGGGGCATTCCAAGAGGTTGTAAATATCTAAAAGTCTAATGTTGTTTCATAGTCTGGGCTGTGCTACCAATCTGCCAATTTGGCTTCTCCTAAGAGCAGAACCAAGCTGTTTCCATTGCTGTGGTTAGTTTTGGTGTTACGAGTTTAGTAGCCCTCTCCTTCTGCTTCCAGACTTGTTTTTGCAGTGTGTTCACATGGTCTCATTTCCTTCAGCCTTATCTCTCTGCAGGGATGTGTTTGGGAGATGCCTTGAAACGTCCAGTAAAGTGACTGATCTCAAATTCTTGTCTTTGAGAAGGTTTTGCGTGTTTTGTATGCTGCCGGTTACATTCTGCAGAAGAACAGGTAAGTTCTGTTGTCCTGGAACGCTTCCCACTCTTCCCCTCATGATAGCTACGCCAGAATTTTATCGCATCTGAAAAAATAAAAAACAACAACTTTTTCCTGCTCCTTATTGCTGCTGCATCCACTACACACCGTAACGTGAAGATAGCCTTTACATTCTTCAGTGCCTTCCTTTGGAGGGACTGGGATGATGATGGAAGTCGTGAGAAAGTGGTGGAGGAACTATTCGTGCTGCAGTGGGTCACCTTTTTAAAAACACCTGGAGAAGTACAAAAGCTGGTGTTCGGAATTGATTCACTAGCGAAGTAGCATTAAAGAAGAACCGACAGCTGGAAAAGCTGATGAACACTGGAAAACGTACTGTGAACTGCTGGAGAAATGGGACAGCTACATCTCCTGTAACCCTTCTGGGTCATTAGCTACCTGAAAAATTAGGAGAAAAAGAAAAGTAAGTACTTTGAAATTGCAGCTTTTGTGGCCTGCATATCCACGGGCTAACATGCAGGTGCCCTGCACGCTGCATGCAGAATATAAAGAATGTACAGTTAAAGGGAAACTGGATTAAATCTTCTGCCTGGAATTACGTGGGAAATCTGGCAGTATCGGTGAGAAAAATCTCCTTATTCATGTCACTGAGCACATAAATTCCCTAATTATGACTTGAGTGGTTATGTATGAGAAGTACTCAGGACCAGAAGTATTTTCTATTTTAAGAGGGGGAGTGGGGCAGAAATATATTGGGTAAAATGTTCTATTTATCACCTGACACAGTGTAACAAAGATTTTTTTGCTTTTTACCATAATGTACCCTTGTATTAGATAACGTACCGTGTCTTAATCCTAACTTTTACATCCATGGTCTTTGGTTGTCCTGAGACTCTGGAGTGCTGATCAGCACCTGGCATTTATGGATTCTTTCTTCCACCTCGGTTCCTTAAATTCATCTCCAGTTGGATTAGGAGAACTCCTAAGGTCAAAGTTTACCCTTCCACCCACTACAAATTCTTGTTTCATACCAGCAAAGCTCATACTTCAGACAGTGCCAAGTTTCTGAGTCACTCCAAGATCTTAAAAAAATTGAAGTTTATAATGGTGCCTTGGAAAATATGACATCACTGGGAGCTTCTCACAGTTGTTTTCTGCTCTGAGAGCATCTGGCAGACCATGCTTGCAGAGTTCCCACCCTGCAGAGTTTGGATGATCCTAAATCCTCAAATTCTTTCTTGCCTCCAAACCCCAAAATGGATCAGGCCTGCAGAGCAAAGGGGTGAAAAGTGGAGGACGAGCAGAAAGCAGACGTAGAAAACATCTTCAGGAATGTCACTCACCAGTGCACGGAATGGCACAGAGTTCCTATGTACGCAAGCATGGAATTAAAACCACACGACATCCACCGTGAAACGGTGACTGAGGTTGTGTGATGCTGAAACGCCACCAAAGCAGTTTTGGCCCGAGCTGTGCTCGTTCCAAAGGCCCTGGAGGAGCTGTGCTTAGACTTCTGCGCTCGCTTTCAAACACGAGCCAAAGCCCGGAGCCTTGGCATCTCACAAAGCTCAAGTTTATTCTGAGGATCGGGATGTGTCAAGCAGGTGCTCTGAGCAGCGGAGCACAGAAGGAGTAACCAACAGAAGTGGTTATTGTGCTGGAGTTATCCATAGCGCAGCATGAAAACAGGCAGTCAGTTGGAAGAGGAATTCTAAGTAACATCATCCAAAAAAAACCCAAACACTTGAGGTATCTTATCTTTTTCCTTGGAAGCCTTCCTAAAATTGTAGGTACCACCTACAATGTTATCTTTTTAGATAGGGAGGACCAGACCTTCAACTTCTTGTTCTCCATCCCTAGGCAAGAATTTTGGGCCAAGATTACAGTAATAGTGGCAGTTGGCACAGAGCTACATGACCAAACATACTATTATGGGAGTTTTCTTCTTCTGGCAATTTCTTTCCTTGGAAAGCACACTGACGCAGTTGAGACAAGCCTTACAAGTCTTCACCTCCTGAAAAAGAGTTGGCTACATTGAGCAACTGTAGCAGAAGGTAAGAGGAACAGCGGGGACTTACACACCAGATGCTGACTATAGGTCAGGAGCTTTGACGGGCACAAAACCAGGAGCTAGGGAAAAACCACAATTCTTCACACATTTTCTAAATGTCTCCGCAAATGGCAGCATTGGAGGAAAACTTGGAATTCGAAAATACAGTCCTGGTACCTAAAAAGCTCTTTGTGAAAGGAACTGGCTGTAGGAAACAGAACAGGGCAGAAGGTTTTTAAATTGCTCTTAAATTTGAAACTTTACTTTTGTCTTTTTTTTTTTAATTTAGTTTGACCAAATCCAGGATTTCCTAGATGGTTGAAATATTTTCCTATGGACACTTTGCTTCAGCAACGTGGCTTTAGAAAGTTGGTGGAGATCACACAGTCATTCTCCCAGGAGAATACGAGGCTGGAAACTTAGCCCTGGTAACTAGAGACATTATTATTGGACCTTAGTATTGTGTTTTTTTTATAATTTACCTCTGTCTTTCTGACCTGTCGTTCAAAAGCAGCTCTGATTAATGGTTCTTAGCAAACTATAAGGAACAGTAAGTTTTGCAGTTCTTTTAACGGGATTAAAAACTTTCAGTGTGAAAATAAGCAGCAGAGTATAATTTGTCAGCTACTACCTAGGGAAAAAATACTGGAATATGGTCTTGCAGGAATTCAGTGAAAAAAATAGACTTAATAAAACATATCTACATATATAAAATATATGCATTTTAAAGCAGTACTGAAGTAGGCAGATCCTCTTCCCTGACAGCTCTTAAAAGGTGTGGGTTTGGGGGTGTTTTTTCCTAGGAATAGCAACACCAGCATGGTATTTAACGCCTCTATTGAACAGGTGACAGGTTTAAGAAGAAATCGGCACCAGCCATGCTTCAGCAACTCACACCTTGCAGATGTGAACACCGATTACCCAAATGCCCGCGCTCGCGCACGCTTCCACGTTCAGGTTGAGGCCTACACCGTCACACGGCCTCGCATCTTGCGAAATACGGCATCTGGTTCCGAGCTATCTTTTACTTCATCCATCTTTTCCGCTTTTTAGGATCCTGAAAACAATGCAGGAGCACTCCTTCAGCTGCTGGCAGCTCTGGAATGCTGTCTGACTGTGCGTTACTTCCAGGGGAGACGGGTCCCCGAAGCAGGCCCTGCAAAAGCTGGCCCTTCGCGACGTGACGGCTCCCACTAACCGGCAAAGCAAAGCTCCCAGCAGAAACAGGGAGAAACTGAAACCATTTCTTGCACCTCAGACTTTTAGCCCCCCGCTTCCTGCCCAGACACACTTGAAGTGCATGTTCTTCACCAACACTAAGGCAGCATCTCTTGCTCCTTCAGCGATCTCCTGCGAGACCCAACCTGCATGGGGCTGGCTTGGAAAAGCCAGTGCCTCACGCAAAGCTGCTGGTGAGGACTTTTCATTCAGCTTATGTTAAGGATGCTTTAACGCAGCTTTCTGTTACTGCCAAGAACACAGAAAGGAAACACCCAACAGTTTTCGAAGCTCTTGATGGCATCAGGAGAAAAACACCGGGAGGGAAGGGAGCAGCAAGGAGGGAGATTTGGCACGAGGCGATAGAAAACGGCAGTGAACCTGGGAGCTCGTGTGCTCCAAGGAAGCGCCTATGTGGCTGCATGCAGCAAGGCCACGCGCTCCCCACAGACAGTGTCTGAACCAACAAAGTGCTTCCTGGCAGCCACTTTCAGACCTTCTTCCTGTCAAAGCCCAGGGTGAGCCTGTGATTAGAAGCACTCACCTCTTCAGCTTCTGCTGCTGGTTTTGAGCTCTTCCGCCATCTCATTCCACGTCCGCCTGCTGCTGCCCGCCCAGCGGGCTTTGTGGCCACGCTGTTAAGAGAGTTTTGGCAAAAAAAAAAAAAAAAACCCAAGACCATCCATGTACGCACATCTAGTGTAAACTGCAGCGCTTCCCTCACCTCGTTCACACCCGTGCTCCTGCACAACACAGCCTGACTCCAGGACCCCGACAGTCACGGGTGCCTGCAGGCAGCCCGTGTCACCACCTCTGCTCCAGGTCACTTCCCAGGAGCTGAGGGGCATGGGAACGGAGGAAAGCACACCTTGCTGGAGGGCCTTTCACCCCCTCTGCATCGATGGACTTGTGCCAGCAGCCAGCTGAGCTTCGCCTGTCTGAAATCCAGCGGCTGCAGTTTCAGTGAATCCTCATTAGAGACCCGCTCTCTCGGATGGAGCTGGAAGAACAAAGCGTGACCCTCTTGGAGGAGCGATGTAAATGAACACTGCCACAGGTGAAGGGCTCAGCTCATGCTTCCGAGATCACCTCGGGCTCTGCAGGGACGAGCAGCAGCACATCGGTCTCCAGGAAGGTATTCCATGGTCCCGCATCACCTGGATCAGCAGAAGAGCTCCTCGGCTGCTGTGCCACGAAGCGTAACACCGCCCGCAGAGGCGAGCAGCCGGCTGCGATGGAACCAAGCGCTGCCCGGCGCAGACAGAAAACCAGCGCAGCAAGGTCTGTCTGCACAGTTGTGCTGAATCCAGCACAACAGTTTATTAGACAGCAAATAAAGATTCCCCACTGGGTCCAAGGTCTACAACTTGAAATTTGTTTGGCAGAAAACGGTTTTAAGACACTGAAAAGGTTTCCTCAGAACGCCTCCTACAACCAAAACTAACAACAGACAGCCTGAAAATCTAAATCCAAACACAAAATTAAAGGTGTAGCATGTAAGTCTTTAAAAACAAACCCTTTATTAAGAACAAAAGCATACAACTCGCAGTAAATTCCTTAAGGGCACGGTATATTACAGAGCTGAACTTGTACTAGGGAACCCAAATGGCTAACAGACTGGTAACAGCAAGAAAGGGATTTGGGAGAGAAACACGCTTTTGTCAAAGTGGAACATCCATACCTACCACCCGCCCCTCCCCGAATCC